CTCAATTGGGTTATCATTTATTATTGAATTTATGCAATTTTGTGTGAAATTTTCATTTTTCTCATTCCGGCACTTTCTGGCACATAAACTTGAACTCTGATGGGCCTGAAGCCTTATGCTTTTACTTTCGTCGGTGTTACCTGTTGTGCATAATTAAAATTTGATGTTGACTGTGCAGTTAAACATAATGTATTATTGCATCAGAATTGGTAGTCTCCTATTTTGTCATTATTGTTTTGTGCTTTTCTTAAGATGTGACCTATGGGCCTGAAAGACCTTTGAGAGGGTCAGTCTGTAAATTTCCCTTGGGTATCACAAAGCTAGGTTCAGAGTTATAAAGTCATTTACCTAATTAATAGGTTATTAAATGAGATTACATAAAGCACACTTGTTGATATTTCCCTGTAAACTCCCAAAGATTTTATGTGAAATTAAAAGCCAGTCTGCTAGATTAATAATAAGGAAGCAGTGATAATTATGCGGGTAAATTTTGCAATATCTCTGGGTCCACTCCTGTTATTGACCATGTTACCTGTTGTGCATGATTAAAATTCAGTGTTGACTGACAGTGCTATTATAAGCTTTATTTGTTATTGCATCAAAATTGACAAAATGACCTATTTTGCATCTTTATTTTCTGTTTTTTGTCTGTACATTTGACAGCTTTGCTGCCTTGTTTATTTTCCGTTATGTAGAATCTTCCTTTACCTTCATTGTATTGTTCTTATTCGCCAAGTTAATTGATGTACATGTACACTTTCTTTATATTCAGTTTGCTGTCAGTGTCGCTGTTTATATAGGCCTATTAATTAATTTTTAGTCGGTTGGACGTTTTCCCCTTTTTCAAAACTAAATTAGCAAAGTAGACCTTAAAAAGAACGTTAACATTTACTTTTCAAAAACTTAAAATATAAAAATGATTATTGTCATCCATCGCTTCACAGAATCAGTGGCGGATTTGGGGGGGTGTCGTGGGGTCCTGAGCTCTCGATTTCTGAAAAAAATCACACCATTGGTCCCCTCTCGAAATTAGGCCAAGTGGGGAGGGAGGGTCGACTTTGCATCCGCGGACCCCCCTTCAAATAAGCCTGGATCTGCCCCTATAGAACTATGTTTGGACTCAACTATAAATTATCATTACGCAAATGAGCATAAAAAGGAAAGGGGGAGGTCAAAAATCAAAATTACAGCTCTAAGAGTCTGTGTGTCATGTGTGTCCGCTTCTGGAAACCACGCATATGCTTCACAACGTCGCTCCGTCGAGTAATTAACTGTTTGGAGAGACTGGCGTGGAATGGAATTTCCTTCTTGAAAGAAAAACTTATAAAAAGGGGCAAAGGGTGGGGTTTGGGTGGGGTGGAGGATTCCTTCACGACTGGATATTTATCTCGTTATGCTTTAGCTTTTTTCAGTTACCAGTGGCGGATTTGAGGGGGGTGTCAGGGTGGTCCTAAAAAAAAATTACACTAATTAGAATTTGACTAGCCATTTAGAATTTTGACTAGCTGAATCACTGTTCTAAACCGAACCAAATGGCACCGTTTTTCGGGGCCCGAACCCCACGCCAAGGGGAGGGGAGGGGAGGGTGGCGGATCGGCTTGGGATCAGCGGGCTTTAGCATTTTGGGAGATTTTGAAGAGATACAAAAAAATCAGAATTACTGGAAATATGAGAAAGTTGTCAGAAGTGGATTCAAATGTTTTTAATAAAGATTTTTGATTGAGATCTAGTCTGTCGTCGTGCAAAGCTGAAAATAATTTGAATTTGCACTTTTTAAGCTGTTAAACAAAATGCTAATCGAACCAAAGAAAATTGTCCGATTTTCTTATACTTACATTTATATTCACAAATGAATGAAATCCACTAAAACATACATGTGTTTGCACTGGCCAAGACTCCAGTCAACTAAATGGCATCATTCTCAACATTAGTATTACCTGTCTAATATATAAGTAACAGCAAAAAAATACAAATGAAACTTCTTCTCATGGTATTTTTAAAAAATATTTCTAATGTTAACGTATAAAATTTGATGACTTACTCCGTGGCGGTCTATTGTCCTATCTCTGTTAAGAGGCGGGACAAAGTGTACGAGTGACAGGCCAAAGCGACGGGGGGTAATTTCCTGGTAAGACCAACAGATATATTGTTTCAAAACTTATAAAAATCATATTCTTGTCGTCTCTGTGCTTTATTCCTTTTCCGACTATTGCCCTGGCTACATAGTCAAGTTTAGTCCTTGAGCCAAGATACTGCTCCTTTCCACTGTAGTATTTGCATGCTAATTCATAAGACTTTCGATTTAGTACCAGACTGCCCACTAAGAAGAGCTATGAAATGTTCCAGAGAAACCACCAAAGAGCTTACGCCGTTCAAGACCCTGTCGCTGTACTGATAAGTTTCGACGGCGCCTTAGCCATAACATAAGACAACACTAGGAAAGTCTCATCTGTTTTGGTAGGAACAATCAAGCTATTAAGAAAAAACAAACTGTGAAATACCGGCACCTCTTGAAAAAGTATTGACTTGGAGAGAAAAATTATAAATTTGATATGGCGGCTTCAGATAACTTTGATTTCAACATATCAACCATTAATCTAACCATGGAAATGAACGATACTTTATCGTTGGAATTGCCAAAACCTCCTCTTTGTCCGTTCCTAGGTTTTTATGCCAATGAGAAAGACGACTTGTTGTCATGGTTCCGATTGTTCGCTGACGTGTGGATCGTGCTAAGTAATGTAGTGAATGCATTGATATGGATTAAAATGAAGCATGTTCTAGGAGTCGGGCACTTTATCCCGTTCTTCGTCACTCTTTCCGTATCAGATGGTCTCACCGGCTTAACAAGGATTCCAATGGACTCTGCCAAGCTCCTTGTAGACTACCTACCAGATGACACCTTCGTTTCGTTAAACTTGGTGCACTGTCTTTCGTTGATCATATCAGGGCAGTGCTTTTATTATTCATTTTTAATGTTAACGGCACTGTCCTTGCTCCGTTTGGTTGTTTTGAGTCATCCAATTACTGCACATAAATGGTTGGCGAAGTCACGATTACTTGCCGTCGTACTTATACCGGCTGTATTCGTCGTCCAGACTGCGCTAGGGATAACGCAGTACTTGGACATCACGGAAGAACTCAATAGGACACCCTCTGAAATCGGATGTGTTATGGTGCCCATGCTCGTCCAGTTGATAGCCGGGAGTTATTTGGTTCGACTGATTATCAAGAGGAACAACAAGGCTAAATTCTCCATTGCGCCTGTTGCGCATAATATCCAAATGCAAAACAGGCTGACTTTCGCAATCTCTGCCAGTGCATTTGCAGCTCTGTTTTTGGCGCTCCCATACACCGCCTACAAACTCCTCACCACAGCTGAAGTCTATCACGGCAATACTGATATTTTCCAAGCACTTGGTTTCCTACGTTGTTTGAACTGTGCGGTACATTTTCCAATCTACTTACTGACGCATCAAACTTACAGGTCCACATTTCTGCAAATTTTCTGTCGCATTCGACCTGTGGCGCCACCAATGGTATGGACCGCAACGGGCAACGATGGTTCTTCGCCCAGTCAGCAAAGTTCAGAAGAAGCATTGAATCACTGGTGTACCTGTTGGCAAGGAAGACGCGTGCATCCGCATCCCGCACCAAGCCCTTTGGCCTTGCAGTAAATGCCAATTAATATGTTAAGTAAGGAACTTAGTTTGCCAAACTAGAAGTAGGATAAACCCACAAACAGCTATTCGCGCTGTTGCATGTCTTCGTTTCTGCTACGTATGAAACAAGCCTGTTGCAGTGTAGAAGAGCACGTTGTAATAGGTCGGTGTGATAAAAATCACTGTCATTATAAAGTCAGTGAAAATCCCAACTTGTAGGACAGACCAGCAATTTTGAAGTGCAAAATTATCCATTGATGATTGTCTGGAATGTTCGTAACATTTGTATTTGTCCATCAGTACGATTATACAAATATTATCTGCTTTGAATGGAATAGTTGCATTTATGACCCCAAGAAAATATATCCGTTAATAATAATCCCATGGCCAGGGTTTTATTGTTTCACGTCATATTTCACGCCTTATTTAGCCATTGTGCAATTTTGTCTCTTAATTGGTACATAGAAAAAGCAACAATGCATGCAAATAGTACCCTCTTCCAAGGACGAAGTTCAATTATGTGTACTTTGATCCCACGTAGTGGAGACATGTGGAAGAGGGTATGCAAATAGGATGTTGTGAGGCATTTTAATGCGCAGATATATAGCATAATAAAAATAATCTTACAGCTGTGTTAAGTAGCACAAATGAATCGAAGATTACTCAGATGTAAATTACCTTCAACCACTATTTGTTATCAATTGTTACTACCACATTGTTTACTTATATACCAGATAGTTAATGTATAATAAAGTTATATATCTGTGGATTTTGTGGCCAATCATTAGCTTGTATTTTGCATCTGACTCAGACTAACTTTAAGTAGGCACTGGCAGCCAGCTAATTCTGTTGTCACCTCTGCCCAAATAAATTTAAAAGGCAATGCTATAATTGCCCACCTAACTTATTGGCTAATAGACGAAGTAACCTTCTTTTTAACATGTGAATAATATACAACAATGTCAACAGTGTCATTTTGTCAAGCAAGAATCCTCGACTTATTTCACAACATATAACTACTGGTATAACTATTTATCTTGATTAAAGTGGCAATTTCAAAAAGTATATTAAATCTTCATTTGGTCGTTCGATACGTTTACATTGACGTAGCGTAAATTGAATAGTTGCTTCTATGTTTAAGCTCCCTTAAAACTGAATGCAAGACATGAGAAATTACATTTAACACAAAGAAGAATTAACCCCTGTTCATACTGTTTGGGGAGGAGGGGGGTTAAGAAAACCACAAATAAATACAGTACGGTAAGCCAGTCTCAAATGTACATTCAAAATTGGCACGTTTCATTCATTCATCGGGTCAATACTAACTCTGCTTCTTACCTTGACACAGGGATCCATAGTGCCCCGGACAACACCGTGGAATTATGGTTTCTCTCAGACACAGGTGTTGACACCCCGTCCGCCAAACGCGACGGAATAGACCAAACTTAATTCTATATCTGCATTCCGTTGTCCTATTCTCCTCCGTTATTTTCACTGAACCGACGGGGCACTCAATCAGCGCGTTGAGGATGCAGGAGCGGCAGTTGGTGACGAACTTTTGTTGCAAAGTGGTGTTGCAGAAATTGTGACTTGTGTTCATATATTTTTCTGTCGTTGTTTCGGGGAATTCCATCGGTCCCTGTGTCGCATTGAGAGACAGGCAGATTAAAGCACAAAAAAGGTTGGAAAAAATCTTATCACTATGATAGTTATCGTCCCCATGGTGCCATCGATCTTTAGTTTAGTTCTGTTGCANGAGGGGGGTTAAGAAAACCACAAATAAATACAGTACGGTAAGCCAGTCTCAAATGTACATTCAAAATTGGCACGTTTCATTCATTCATCGGGTCAATACTAACTCTGCTTCTTACCTTGACACAGGGATCCATAGTGCCCCGGACAACACCGTGGAATTATGGTTTCTCTCAGACACAGGTGTTGACACCCCGTCCGCCAAACGCGACGGAATAGACCAAACTTAATTCTATATCTGCATTCCGTTGTCCTATTCTCCTCCGTTATTTTCACTGAACCGACGGGGCACTCAATCAGCGCGTTGAGGATGCAGGAGCGGCAGTTGGTGACGAACTTTTGTTGCAAAGTGGTGTTGCAGAAATTGTGACTTGTGTTCATATATTTTTCTGTCGTTGTTTCGGGGAATTCCATCGGTCCCTGTGTCGCATTGAGAGACAGGCAGATTAAAGCACAAAAAAGTTGGAAAAAACTTATCACTATGATAGTTATCGTCCCCATGGTGCCATCGATCTTTTAGTTTAGTTCTGTTGCATTTCAGAGGGAATGAGAAACTAAAATAACTGCCACTTTAATAACAATATCCCGTTTCCCACAAACGAAGAGCGTTTATTTCCTTTTCCTTTTTAATCAGACTTCGACCATGGACCGGTTTCACGAGGGGCTTAAGCCTGAAAATTGGCCGGAAAATAAGGCCTTTTTTATCAACTTCGTTCAATATAGTGGTTTATCTAAAAAGGTTAAGTGTTAGTACAAACAAGGAGTTATAACTCCTATGTACAAATGTATTCGCTATTATAAAAATTGTATTACTACTGATTTCTGTATGGTCAAAGTTGAAGAAATTTGGGGGGCTAAAAGTTTAAACCAATTTTCGGGGTTAAGGAAAACTGGTCCCAGTAGTGCCAGCAAAGCTGAAAAAACGTATGCTATCGTGACATCGCCTCATTACTTTTCGTAGTTGCCTGCTTTCGCAACACATTGCATGATATTGAAAAAAAAAAGAAATCTCTCTCTCTCTCTCTCTCTCTCTCTTCAAAACCAGGTCACTTGGACTACATTAACAGTCAGTTATTGAGCTATATTGAATGTTAATACCCTCCTCTGCCCCCTAAAAAATGCGGAACCATAAAAAGATGAGGCACGCTTCACGCGTTTGCATGCCAATGTTCTCCACCCCCTAAATCTGCCACTCATTCCATCTAAAAAAATAAGTGTTCTTTGTCATTTTTCATTGAAATTACGAACAAAAATATTTCCAGTTGTGAGATCTTTCGTTTGCGGAGGTTAGTCTCACACAATATTTCCTAAAAGCCAGTTCGCATTCAATAAGGAGATAGTATGAACAGTTCAAAAGCAAACATTCAAAGACAGTAGACGGAATCAAATAATACAGTAACACGTAGGAACATATGGGCTAAGAAAGCGTTCAGGAAGTCTGTATTCTGGTTGATTGTAAATCGGGTTAAAGGAAACCCGTTGACCTGAGATAACGTTAATTATAAACAATCTATAAACAAAAAGCGCACGGTTGAAAATGTCAAAAACATCCTTGGTTCTTTGGTTCATTAGTGAGTACGGACTGCTAATCTACTTGGAATTGTCTTGACTGTACCACATTATACAAAAATAAAATACAAAAAAAGAAAAAAGTCCGTTCCTTAAATGTGATCTTATATTTGCAATCACAAGTAAATACAAATTCAAACAATAATGATAATAACCACATGTTGATGTTATATAATAGGAAATAGACTGTATAAAACGTGCACCATGCAGTTCATTAGATTTTATTCACCAATTTCCATAGGACTGAGTTGAGATCTTTCTTAGAACTGCTCATGACGTCATACGCTACCACTTTACAGAAGCCCTTTACAGACCAATCTCCCTCTTTAATTTCTATTTTCAACATACACTAGGATTGCTAGGATGTTGCTTTACGAATAAATAAGGCGTCATCAGGGGACACCAGATCTATCAATAATGCTCTAGATTTATTTTTTCTATACTTCGTGATCTTGGCAATCATCTGTTTCTCAAGTCATTATGAAAGAGACAAGCGGAAATTTTAATATACCTATTGAATCCAAATAACCACCTTTTTTCATTAATGAATGAGCTACTGGAACGTCAGAAAAAATAAGGTGTTTAGATCTACAAGCTGCGTAGTAAGTACGTTAGAAAAAAAAGGCGTTTAAATAATATGCAAAAAGTAAGTTAATAAAAATGTGTTTACATAATACGCCACAAGCACGAAAGCGTTTGCATAAATACAAGAAATGGTAGCGTTCTATTAGAGCAGAGAGAGATTAACAAATGTAGTCAAAAAGAAAATTAATGTGAATAAAGAAAATTTTACAAGGCAATAAAGGAAACTTTGTTCAGTGCCTCATGCAGAGGTAAAGGTAATTGTAAGTCACAACATTTATGGATCACTTCTTATTTCCTGGCTATTTTCATCATATCAAATTATTGTCATTTCCGTTTTTCTTCAGTTTATTCCACAGCAATTTGTTTGACGGGATTTTTATTCTCACTCGACTTCCTTCATTTTCCACATTGTCACCGTTATCAGAAGTTTCTTGTGAAATAAATAAAAGTAATTCAAAATTTATCGATTTTAAAATATTAAAACATTTTTACTACCATTTCATTTATGTGTCATTTTTCACTGAACATACACTCTGAAAACAACGAGCAGAGCCTTTCCTTTTGACTTAATGCAATTATTCCTGAAATCTTCAAGGGATTCTCCAGTTTTTCTGTTTAATTACAAAATTTATTCCTTCCATTGAGACGTTAAGAGATCTTTTTCCAATAATATTATCTTTTCCCACTCAATTTTCTTGGAATTCCACAATACAGCCACATTTCTTGGCAATTTGAAAGTTAAATATCTGTAATGGCAATGCACATAGGAAGCAAATTCCTAAATGACCACTCCTAGAACCTAAGGGGCATTTCGCTGTACAGATCTACTGTGTATGTATGTCCGTAAGGGTGGAAAGGTCTCTTTTGTAGCCTAATTTGGCCATTGAAATCTGCAACAGTCATCACCTTTTCAACATTTTAAAAAAGTTTATAGCTAAAAGGACTGAATTTTAACTGACCTTTACTTCTTTCCCATATATCATTAAAATAACATATCTTAATATGTAGCTACTTATTTTGCTCTCAATAATAATGTGTGTGTACATTTCTTTATTTATTATTTCATAAAGTCTGCTGAACATTGAAAAAGGATGGATTACTTTCACCATTACTATTATTATTATTATTATTATTATTATAAGACTGGTAAAGTCAAGATGAATCACAATATTTTCCACATTAAGAAAAACTTAAGAAAAAACTCGAGGCAAGATAACTTTGTAAGTTAAAATGTATTTGATCAGAAAAAAAATAGCAATTAATGTTTTAATGAGGAACAATATGTGACACAGAATATTGTCACAAACTGCATATAATAGTTTGGGGTTGTTACACTTACATCATAAATTATCTTTTAAAGTATTCATTTTTCAGCTCTTGAGAATAAAGCTAAAAGCAATCATTTCAATAAATCCATCAACCATGCACAAATGCAATTCATTCAGTGCTTATTAATCAAAATACACCAAAATTAATCATTTCCCCTGTTTTTCTACCACATTTATGCAAAAAGTTTTAAACACCTACTACCGATATGGTGACTGTTGTAACTTTCCTTGAATATAAAGGACATTGCATAGCAATGTGAATTGATACAATATATTTGTCTGATATGTAAATTGGATACATTTGTGATGCAAGAGTGAAATAAATTACCTTGCAAAACTAGAAGCTTGTATTTAGACTGCTGACTTCAAATAGGTCACAAACCTATAGTGAGAATGCTTACATAAATATCAAGATATTCAAGATATTCAAGAACTGGTTTTAAGCCTAATGCCTTTCTATACAACTTTCATATTGGCAAACTGAATATTAATCAACCTTAATGATCAATTCATTTTCCAAGTTGCACTGTTCTTTCATTCTTGCACTATCCTTTTAATACTGCCTGAATATGCATAAATGGGGTTAAATTGACAATATTTGTAAGTTAAGTAATGCTGAGGCATCTTTTAGATTGGGACAATTTTTTGTTGCTGAACAACATATTAACTGATTAGGTGATCTATTCCTGTTGTAAAATAACTTGAACTTTGTACTACTAAAAATGTTTTATGGCTCAGTAACTTCCCAAACAATTAAACTGATTTGGTTGCTTGGCCACCCCTTTTGGTTGCTTGGTAACTGGTTTTAGTTGCCACTTCCCCTGGTTGCCAGGCAACTTCTTCCTGTTGTTATGACTTCCCCGACTTGATGGGCACAACTTTACCATTGTTGTCCAGCACTTTGGTAATGGTGGACTTGCAGAAAAAGCATTCTTTATGGCTCATTAGGTGTTGGGATATACAACTCCTGTGGACAGCAACAGTGGAATAAAACCAAATAAATATCTTCTTATTTACAAAAACAAATAAGTATGATAATTAAAAAAACCATAGACATAGAGATATAAACATAGATAATCTGAATTGACATTAATATGATATGAATTAATATTTATTCCAAGTACAAAAAAATAAAAATGAAAATAAAATAGATAATAATTCTTTAAAATAAAATAAAAATGGAATTAAAAAAATTTAATTGTTGTACTTTTTTCAAAGGAAATCTCATATTGGTTGAAAAAATATATTTTTATCATCAAGTCTTCTCTCATACAGTTTTCGAGTAAATCTACATACCTGCATGATACATGTTTACATGGTTGGAACACACAGTTGGCAGAGTGGGCATAACAGATGGTACACTCTTCTCCTTCAGAGAACTAGAAAACAGCAGAAAGCAAACACAAATATATGTACATAGTCATCACATATAAACATAATGATTCAACTTTTCTGTAAAAAAAGTTAAAACTATTGGACAATTGGATTTTGTCCCATTAATACTTACACCCCATTCTCATAGATTAGATCGACCTACATTGGATCGACCTAACTCCCTGGGGGTTCACGCTAAATAGCTGTCAGCCGGGCGGACACGAAAGTTAATTACCCCTTAAAGCTTGTAGTAGGCGGGGACGGACACTTAAGGGGGATTATCTGACAGTAATCTAGTGAGACTCCCTGCGGTGATAGATCGATCTAAAAGTTGTGAGAACAGAGCCATAAATTCAGTATATTATGTCGGCTGCAGGACAAGCTTCATGGTAGAATATTAGTCTATCCATAAAATGCCTAACATTAAAAGCCTACCGATGATTTTCTCTCCCTGGAGATTTGACATTTCTTTAAATGCGATATCATCTCTTCCACCTCCTTTATCTCCTCTGGACTGACTTCTTGATCTGGAAAATAGAATATTAACTTTGTTGTTTTTTAATGTCATCAGTTTTAAGTTAAGAGTTGGTTATACCACACAAAAACAAACAAACAAAGAAAACATTAAAAAAAACAAGAGAGCTTTCTCAGAGACCTTTGGCAAATAAGCAATGCAATTAATCAGTTTTTAAAATAGAGACCCAGACATAGTTGAAATTGTAATTGCTTTTTTCCTCCCCGAATTCAGCTTACTTAATATATCTGTTAATCTTGAAAATTCCATCCACCAACAAATAGACACACAGCACTGATAAATACATTACAAAGGTGAAGGTGAAAATTAAATTAAACAGCTGGTTCTGCATATCATTAATCATTCTAACTGCAGATGCTATCAGTGCCAAAAGTAATACACAAATGAGTAATAATCTTCTTGTGGTCAAAGTAAATATTTACCGAACATAAATGTCATAGCAGCTGTTTAGATGAAAACAATAAAGCCTTAAACTATGACCTTAGGTACTGATTGAGAAGAAGTAGACAACTGTATGCTTTCATCATTCTTACTCTTCTTTTATCTTCCTTGGAACAATTTTAATATCAGACCATTTTAAATGCCTAATTATTTAAATAACAGAGGTGTGTATCTGATGGACAGACAGGTCCTTATGTGACAATTACTTCAATGTGCAGACAGGAATCTAGAAAACTCAGCAATACATACAGATAAATATAATGACCAAAATGAAAAAAAGAAAAAAATAAAAAGTGAAAAAACAGCATAAATTCCCTATAAGTGACCCGATCATGCTGATTTTCGAACTTGACCTGCGTATTATGAATATTCATCAGTTCTGCAAGTTTCAAGTCAAAAGGTAAAATGGTTTTCCACTTATGGTGTTATCGGTAAAAGTGCACGGCGACGGCGACGGCAACGACGGCGACGACGGCGACGACAGACGCAGATGATGGCTATATGTACAGACACATCTGTGTCTGTACATAAAAAAGGAATTCACATTTGCAATTAGGATTAGATATTACTACTCTGGGAAGTCAAAATTCATACACCAGCCTGTCTTTTCATATATGAACAATAAAAATCATATCTCCATCAGAACAGCTTACATTTCCTGAGAGAGAAGTTCCTCTTGTCACTGGCAGACACTGTGGCCTGACCTGGGGTGCCTCCCAGCAGAAACTCCACAGAGGACATCTGGAAGCCAGGCTCGTTAAGTAAGGCACTGGTGGCGGCTTCTCGCCTGTCAAACAATGATAATCAAGTATTGATTGGATTTACAAAAAGTAAATGAAACAATTTCATAAACTCATTAATTGAGCTCATTAGGTCAAGTATGATCCATTGCTTTCCGTCTTTCTTTGGTTGATTCTTCTTTGCCTCTCTTTCTCTCTGTTTCTCTCCATACACACTTACAGACCGTTCAGTTTTACAAGTACCACTACAAATGCACTATTAATAATAATATTTATTCTTGCAACTAAAAGTTGGATTGGCATGCACTGTTAACAAGTTATAAAAGTAACTATAACACATTATGACAATTATAACATAAAAGAATTCACTGTTAATACCCACACATCTTCACACTCACAGGCCCACAAAATAACATCCACCAGCCTACCATGTCTACACACCAACCCATCTAGCACCCATAATACCCACTAGACCTCATCTACCAACCCATCCCATACCCATACATCAACCCACTAAGACCTACACACCAGCCCACCTGACACCCATAAACCAACCCACTATT